CAATGGTTGGCAAACATTTTCTGTAAATGTCCAGATAGTAAATATTTTATACTTTTGGGCCATATAGTCTCTGTTGCAACTATTCAGCTTGGAGAATCAACTGTGGGCAATTCATAAATGAATGGGTGTAGCCATGTTCATCAAAACCTGGCAACAGCTAAATTTGGCCCACTGGCTGTAGTTTGCTGACCCCTGGTCTATTCTGTCCTTGTTTATATAGTAAACCTTCTTGTTTATTCTTTTTCAATATTTTTTTGCTACTGTTCTCTATTTCATCATTAACTTGAATTTAAAATTACTTTGTAAAATTCTGCTTTGCCTAAAAGAAATTCACTGGGGATATTATTGTATTAGCATTCAGTTTATTTTTATATTTTTGGTGGCTGGCCAGTATGGATGTCCGAACCCTTGACCTTGGTGTTACCAACACCGTGCTCTAACCAACCGAGCTAACCAGCCAGCCCCAATTTATAAATTCATTTGGTCAGAATTAACATGTTTGCAACATTTCCCCTTCTAGAGACGTGTGTTCACATCTTTTTGTTTCTTCCTAATAATTGTAATTTTTGTTATGTACATCACTAATACTTTGTATGTTATTCCTTAGGTATTTTAAGCTACATGTGGTCATAATAAATTAGATTTTTTTCTATTAATTTTAATAACTAGTATTTTTCCTAGCTTATTTCAAAATGGGAATGGTATTTTTCCTGGTTATAAAGAGATATTTATAAACAATTCAGGTAACACAGGAGGATATAAATATTGTCAAGATAAGCTATAATCCTATCACTTAACTAATACCACTGTTAAACTTTTGGTATATAGACTTCTTGAATTTCAGTCTATCTTTGACGTTGTTGAGCATTTATTTTATCTAATTATGTCATCTGTTCTGGTTCTGTGCTTATTAAGCAATTTTATGATTATAATTTGGCTACAGGAAATGAATATACTCTTCATGTAGAAAGAAGTATTCTGGTTACTTTGATGGGTATATTTCTTGTAGCAAAGAAATTGGCACATTGAAGATTATTTACCTTCACTTTATATGTCAGCTGTGATGAATGTCCTTGTAATTTATCTTTGTACTGTTGACTGATCGTTTCCTTGCCAAACATAATTTTTAGTCATAGAAGCTGCAGTGAATTCTCTCAGGACTCTGAATCATGGTTTATACTCACAGCAAAAGTATAACAAAAATAACGGTAGCGCGGATGTATTCTAGCAGCAGGCATGACCATAAATATGCATTTGGTGGTTTTAGAGAAGAGAATATGATAATAAAAATCAATGGCTATAGTTTTGTTAAGAGAATCTCACTTATTTTCTAATTGTACCTAGAGAATGAACTTTATCAATTTAGGGAGAGCAACATATATATGCTTTATCTTGGTCCTGAGGCATGGTTGCTGGAGGTCAAGTCTATGCAGTTAGCTACAGTGGCCGTGGAAGAATTTTAAACTCCTTGTAGTTATCCAAGTAGAGTAGATTGCATGAAGTATTGGTAATTGAAAAATATGAGTGCCTGTTTTTATTAGCCTGGAACTTGATAGTAATGGCATTAACTGAAAGCAGGACATAAAATATATTTTAGCTTAATATGTAAAATGAACTTCCGCATCACTGAAGAAGAAAAATGTCTCACTGGGAATGAGATTAGGAAACAAATTTGGGAAATACCAATGTACCTTTTTTTAGGAGAAAGGTACCCTCTCCAAAAAGAATGACCTGCCTAGCTAGGAAAATGCATTTTGTTCTAAGTCAGAAGTAATTACTAAGCTGTGGGTCTGTAAGGAGAATTATAATCAGAAACATCTAATTTTTATAACGTAAATATGTATAATATTTAATTGTAGTTGTGAAAATGCATTTTGAAACTTGGAGGGAAAGAAGAGTTGCTTCTATGATTTGGTAACTTAATATCAAAAAATAGATGGTGTGTTGGGTGTCACTAGATCACGGGACTCAGCTACAGTGGGCTACAGAAGGATTTTAAACTCCTTATAGTCATCCAAGTAGAGTAGATTTCATGAAGTATTGGTAATTGAAAAATATGTAGAGCAGCTAAGACTTATTACAGCAACATAATAAACCTACACAGCCTTTCTAAAGCTAGCATAAGGGAAAAAGACAAGGTGGAGTCCAGAGGAACTCCCGTGCAGGCTTCCTTATGCTCTCTCCCTCTCATAAATGTCAAACAGAGCACATTCTCCTAACAGTAAAAATTTGGCAATTTGTGTGCCACATTTCTACCAGAGAAACCCTTTAGAGACTCATTAACCAAGGTTTTTACCATGGTCTAGTCACAGAGGCACCTTTTGCTTAGCACGTACCAAAATCTGGACTCCTAGAAGGAAAGCAGGTGTTCAACATGATCAACCTTTATTTGTACAAACAATCTAGGCACAGTAAACCACTCTTACCAATTAGAGAAAGTTTTCTGTCAGTGTAGGGACCTGCTTACTGGTCAAGTTCCCACATGCCAGCCAAGGGCCAACCTTGAAAGTAGGTCTTCCTGAGGATAGTAGTTTTAGGCCTGCTATGTTAACCCTTTTCTGTGCACTTCGGTTGAATGTATAACAATAGATCAAAATTAGAGCATTCTATAATTGATCACATTCGGACCCTATTTAAGGGAAGAGGTGGGCCAGTTTAGTAAGAGTTTAAATATATGATTCCTGTTGTGTTTGGGGCATACTAAAACATCTCGGGAACCCTTCAGGTTAGGTCAAAGAGAATGACCTAAGCTTATTTGTAAAGGATGTTTAACAAAATCTTAGACACATTAGCTTTTTTTTTTTTTTTTTTTTTTTTTTTTTTTTTTTTTTTTTTTTTTTTTTTTTTTTTTTTTTTTTTTTTTTTTTTTTTTTTTTTTTTTTTTTTTTTTTTTTTTTTTTTTTTTTTTTTTTTTTTTTTTTTTTTTTTTGCTTCCGTTTGTTCTCCTGATACTATTGCAAATAGTTAACTGAGAGAAGTATGTTAATTTTAAAATTTCGGTGTCATTCTTTTCCCACAGTTTATTTGGAAATTGACATTCAAGGAACTATTCTTTAAGAAAGAAGTCCAAGGGGATATTACATTTTTATTGTATGGTTTCTCATCAATTTAATTAGAATACTGGGGGCTAGCTGGTTACCTCAGTTGGTTAGAGCGTGGCCTTGTAACAACAAGGCTGAGGGCTTGGTTGCCTGAACTCGCCAGCTGCCAAGAAAAAAGAAAAAAAGATGGTAAGAATTAGAATACTGAAAGTTAGTTTAAAATAACAGGCCTCTCCATTTGACAGGATTTAAAAACACAGATTGACTGTGGTATCTGGGCATAAATTGATTCAGGTAATAGTATTTTCCCCACTTATCAAAAATCGAAGTAATTGTAATAACCTCTTCTATGTATTTTCCTAGTAAAGTTAAAAATGTTGAAGTATTATACACCAAACTGTTCGTGTTGATTATCTTTTGAGATAGGTTTACATAAGTAATTATTCTGGCATGTTTTAATTAAAAAAATTTTTTTTGCTTAGTGAAAATGTACTACGGTTGAAAAAACTAATTTAGTTAGTTGGTAGGTGAACAATGATTTATGGATACTGTTCTGACACCAATTCTCTGACACCTACTGGGTATCCTGCAATTCAATTTAATTCTGACACAAACTACTTAGAGTTAACACTAACTACCTGGCACAGTTAACCCAACAGGAAGCTCCTCAAGCTCTGGGTGTCCAGAGTTTATTGGGGTCAGGTTACATTATTGGCCTCATCATAAAGTTCAGTCTCAAGCCCCTTCTCCTCTCCATGGAGGTCTCAGGATAGGGCTGAAACTTCCAACCCCCTCATCATATGCTTGGTCTTTGTGGCATGGCCAGCCCTCTCCTGAAACTATCCCGAGTCACCTCCTCAGTATAAACTCAGGTGTGGTCCAAAAGTGGGGGGCCCTTATGAATGACAAAAGACACTCCCATTACTCAGGAAATTCCAGCCTTCTCTGAAGCTCTGTGCCAGGAGCAGGAAACGAAGACCAGATTTATTCTTCATTATACCTCAGATACATTTTTATGTTTTGCCTCTGGTTTTAGTAAGGTTTTTGTTGTGAGGAGCACAAACGATAGATTAAATGAGGGGGTTATAATTTGCAAGGCTACAAGGGATGATTTTACTGGAAACCCACCAAAGGAACTGGCATGTAGCTGTGCCTCTGAGGAATGGAGAACTAGAAAACCATCAGGAAATCATGGCCTCTGGAGAAACCCTCTCTACGTTTCTTGTCTTGGACGTGTGTACTCTGCATTTCTGCTGTATCATCACCTTGCCTCTGATTGATTTGCTCTCTCCTTTGGCTTTCTGTGCCCTTCTCTACCCTACAGCTTCTGCTTACTCCTAGTTTCTGCTTTCTCATGAATCCTTAAAGGTCCAGTTCTAGTTCTTACCTGGTTATGTATACTTAAGACTTGAGTTCTTATGAATTTTCAGCCTGATTGGCTCTTTCCTAGGCTAGTCAGCTGGGCAGTTAGGAATTGAGAGTAGTGGTCTTGCACTCAGAAGACAGAGAAGTGAAGACAGAGAAGTTTCCCTTAGGAGTCAAGGGAGGACAATGGAAAGTATTTCTAAACCATTAAAATGTTTCTCTTTAAAGAGTGCTTTAAAATATTAAGGATGTTAAGCATCAGTCCTTTTCCTAATACCTAAAGGAGAATTCCTAAAATAAAAGGTTGATAAACATCACGACATAAAATTTAATTGAGTTTAACATGTTTAAATGAATGTTTGATTTTGGATATATTTTTAGAAAAGAATTCTGAACTCTGAGACCAAATCAATATATTTGCTTAATATTTTTTTCTTAGTCTTCTAAAGTCTTTAAATTCTTAATTAATTGGATTTAAGTGAAAAACATTTACTCTTTTCTCTGTCCAAATTGGCTAATTATATATTTCTTTTGTTAATGAACCCATCTTTTGCTAACTGATTTGTAAACACACCTTTATCTTTCTGTCTTCAGACATAGGAGCCATAAAATAAGATTCATAAGTGCAGCTACATAAAATGAAATAGTTCATGGCAAAAAGCACTGCATGAAGTCAGAAGAGAAATGAGATATCCGAAAAAATATTTGCAACACATATTAATGGATAAAATGCTTCTAACAAGTAAAGAAAATCAAAAGACCCTAGATGAGCAACAGGCATGAACAGACAGAAAAACAAATGGCATTTAAACATGTGAAAGAATGCTCAAGCTCACTTATAAAGAGAAATGCAAAATCTGCAGAAGGTTAATATTTGAGAACTTTGCTGGAAGGATTGGGAAAACTGACACTTATAGAAAGTTAGAGTGCAAAACAATATGATACTTAGGAAGAGTGCTTTAGAGAAATTTATCAAAATTATAGTTGCCTTTATTGTAAATGGGAGACAAATTGCATATGTAACATTGCAGAATGTTATATAATAGCAAGAGACTGGAAACAACCCAGGGGTCGGTTAATAATGGACTGGATAAACTTGTGCATTCCCACAATGGGATACTAGAATGTTGTAAAAATGGATGAGGAAGCAGTCTATGCAATGAAAGAAAATTTCAAGGATATATTAAGTGACAAAAGTTAGGTGTGTAAAGGTAGTATATATACGAGGTATCTTCAAAAAGTTCATGGAAAGATTCATATCTTTTAATTCTCTTTTTCCATGAACGTTTTGAAGTACCCTCGTATATAACAAGTTTTCTTTTGTAGAAGAAAATGGGTTAAATATACATGCTCACTTATGTTTTAAAAAAATAACATTGAGATTAAAAGTGGTTACCTGCAGGTGGTAGGAGAATGGGGCAGGTATATCCAGGGTATGGAATAAGAATTTTGTATATACAGGGTTTTTTTTGCTAGCAAATTTGATATGTTTGAAAGACTCAGATGTCTTGTTTTTCCTTTTTATTTTAAGTTTGCAATTCAGTGGCATTTCTATATATTTTTTAGATTTTATCCAACTTAACTTTTTATTTGGGGGGGGGGGGGAGGGGGTAGAGAGTAGCCAGTACTGGGAACTGAACCCTTGAGTTTGGTATTAGAAGGCCATGCTCGAACCAACTGAGCCAGCTGGCCAGCTGTATTTTTTAGATTTAGATTTTTGAAATACGTGAATATATTACCTACTATAAAATACACCTTTCATTTTAAAATATTTTATATAATAGTGTATATTTCTAAGGTGTGTTGTGTTCATTGATCTGGCAGTTTTTTTAACACACTGGTATTATTACTGTTGATTTAAACTATGCTTTAATATGAGGTGGTATTTTTTTTAAATAACCATAGCTGTTCTCACTCATTTATTCCCTTTGATTAGCTTTTTATTTAATTTATTTTTTAATTTTATTATTTTATTTTTATTCATTTAAATAATAAATGCCTCGTATGCCACGAATACTGGACAAACAATTATGCATGCAGTAGTTGCTAGGTTTTCTCAGAAAGATCAATAAGTTAAGGAAAATATAATAGTTAAATACGTGCAGGGTATGTAGGAAGGTAATTTAACAGCATAGATGACGTGAAGCCAAATAGGAAGGGAGAGGAGGACTTTGCAACATTTGGGCCCTAGGGGAATTTTATCACCAAAGTTTTGGGGCCAAATAACTGGGCTAACATTGGTAGATCTTCTCTGGAGGACTTGGTATTGTTACAGTGGACTTACCACTATATACATATATCTCCACCAAATAATATATTTAAGGCTTAAATTCCAAATATTAGAGGTTTCAAGGGACCTTAATTTTGTGCAGTGGGTGTTACTGCTAAAATTATTATAATTCTGGGTTAGGAATTATTTTTATCATGAATGCACTCCCTAGAGAAAGTATTGTCCCTTTTTACTCCATGCTAAGTCGCTGACTGTTGTTCATTCTTTTCTCATGGAATCATGATACCTTGGCAGCCTGGAGTAATTTCCAGATTATTTTCAATTTGTAGAAACCTAAAAATCTGTTCAGTGATGTTAAGTGTCTAACGTCAGTTCTGCTTGGGGGTTCCTTTGACCTAGAATGGTCCCTCTGGCATTAAACCAAATATAGCTATCTCACGGGATCAGTATATCTTATAGTAATTTTAGTGACTGATCTACAGTTGGTAATTTGATACTTTTGGATCCATTATTTTCCATGTTAAGAGACTACATGTCGGGCCGGCCCATGGCTCACTTGGGAGAGCGTGGTGCTGACAACACCAAATCAAGGGTTCAGATCCCCTTACCGGCCTTTTTTTTTTTTTTTTTTTTTTTTTTAAAGGGACTACACGTCTGTCAGTCCCTGGGATCGAACAATTGGTATATCATATTATATAAACATTGCACCCTGGGCATGAAATTAAATTGCTGTAATGTAGGGTATAGACATCCCCACTTTCAGTACATCGTATGAGTATATGAACCTCTTAAAACCAATGAGTTTCTTCCATAGTCATGGAATTCAAAGGTATATTTTAGAATTTTGAGGCATCCACTAAACATTAACACTTGGGGCCAGGGTTAGGTTGGGATAATGTGGTCTGTCATTTTGCATTGGTATGGTTTTCTACACTCCATGATTGATTGTTAGCCTGATAGTGATTTGGTTGCTGCTGCCAATATATAAATTCCAAAAGGACAAGGGTTTGTGTCCTTGTTGACAAAGGATTTTTGTCCTTGTAAAATGCAGTGGTTCCAACTCTTAACAACTGTACCTGACACATAGTAGGTGCCCAGTAAATGTTGAATAAAAATTAATAATGGATTTCTTCCCATGTATATAATACCATATGTATCATCTCCTAAATGCAAACAATTTGTTACACATTCATTTATATTTTTATGTATCCTGTGTGTTACTTTTTGAGTACTTGCAGTAGTAAATCTGTATGATAAATTTATGATTAGAGTATGCACATTAAAAAATTTTGATTTATTAGATTGCCCTTTGAAAATGTTCCAGTTTTACTGTCACTCACAGATTATGTTTTTTCAAAAACAGTAATACATGAAAATGATAAATAGTATAAAATTCAATTTGTACTAAAGTTGATCTAGTTAAAAGTCTCCTTTCCACCCCCAGTTTCCTAGTCCTTAGTCTTTCTTCCTCCTTCCCAGATAGAAGTACTATTATTAAATTCACATATAACCTTCCAGGGATAGTCTCTGCATAAGACAATAGTCTTGTTATAAAGTCAGGATATTTGTAGAAAAAGTAGCTTGATAACTGAATAATAAGTCTGTAGACCCATTTTTGATGGTGATATATAAGCAAATAACCAAATAAAAACTTGATGACAAGAATTCAGGAGCAAATTCATGACTAATACACAAGTAAGTATTGTTCATACCAACCATGCAAGGATGGTTTGATTTTAGGAAACCTGTGAATATAGCATACCCATATTAGTAAGTCAAAGGAAGAAAATAGCACATGAGCAGCTCTACAGATTGAAGTTTGTAGTACTTTTATTATTTAATTATTTTCAAATCATTGTTCCATTTGGATCTCATTTTTATGTCAGCAGCCATATACTGATTTCACATTTGATTTTAAGTGGCTAACCTGTTGTTCGAATACTGTTTATTAAAAACCCATCTTTTTTTAAAAAAATTATATTATTTTTTTTACATTCTAAGATGTTGCAGGGCTGTTGGGGGGGAAAGAGCAAAGGGAAGGAAAATAGTGTGGGAGGAGGAGGAAGGAGCGCGGCATACAGTCAAGGACTGTGACACCCACCTCATTCCAACAGGGGTGACCAAGGGGCTTCCAACAGTGGCTTGGTCATTGCTGGGCTGGATGCAGATGAAAAATCCATCTTTTGAACACTCATTTAAAATTATATCTATCAAATACTAAATTCTCATTTATTTGGGCCTACTTCTGGATTCACTGATTTGTGTCATTAACTGTATTTTCCTGTGACTATGTAATTATTTTGGTTATACGAGTATTATAAATGTTACTATTTGTTATGCCCATTTGCTGCCTGTCACATTTAGATTCATTTATGTGACGCTATTCCATATACTCTAAATTTTTTGGTTCTATTTTAATAATACTTGAGTCAATGACTATTCATCTTCATAGCTCTTGATTTCCCTCCTTCAACAGTTTAGTAGTTTCCATCTTGAATGTTTTTATCATTCTATTCTGTGTCTATTCTCCTTGGGATTTTTGTTTTTCCCTACTGCTATTATATAGATATATTTCTTCCAGCTGTCTCATAAAGGTGTCACATGCCGTATATAAATATGTGGACTTCTGCAACAGAAAAACTTAAATGTTAAAATTAATTTGCCAGGGGATTTTAATCAGAGTGCATGTAGCATAATAGAACTATACGAGAAACAGTACTAGATGATATCTCATGATCTTAAGCTTTCTTAATGAGGCCATTAAAAGCTTATGAAAAAATATAGCAATGGAATATGCCTATACTATATGTGCTAAGAAAAAAAAATCATAGACTCAAACAAAAAAAAGCATAATAGAACTATACGAGAAACAGTACTAGATGATATCTCATGATCTTAAGCTTTCTTACATGCCTGTGGCACATTGCTTGTGTTCTTGGTTAAGTGATAAATAATTTTATGGGATGTGTCATAGCCATCATAATAGAGCCCTTTGCCTTGCCGTGTGTCTTTGCATGGACCCTTTTTTATACAGAAGTCATTCAATTTTATGTTCTTAATAGCATCAATTTTAGCATCTAACATGTGATTCTGGACTGTGCATCAGAATACTTGGCTTTTAGTTTGAAATGAAAATTCATGGATACTATAATTTATGTAACATAATTTATTTAACAGTTCACTTTAGACTGTCCCTTTCACAAATAATAGTGCAGTGAAAACTTTCGCATCCTTGTGTGAGTATTTCTGTAAGATTTCTATATGATGGCATCCTTGGAAAAGCTGGTAAAAATGTGAACAGTTTTTATTTATTAAAGTTCCTCCCAATTGCCCTTACAAAAATGTTTTCATTTATACTGTAGTGCTTAAGTAATTTTCTTCAAAATATACAAGAGTCGGGACTATTTAACCTGTATTTTAGCACTATATCACAGAACAGGTTTTCCGAAATTTTCCTTGCACACCAGAGGTCTCACAAGGATATTATAAACTTGATTCAATTTGCGTTATTGAATTTATAATAAATCTAAATTTTAGCACATAGAAAGATCAAAGTGTTTGTTAAATTATTTATAGGGTAAAACTTGGGGAGTCTTGGTTGACATCATTCTCTTTGTTATTTTTTTTAAATAAAGATTTTGTTTCATAACAGTTTTTGATTTACAGAAAAGTTACAAAGATAATACAGAGAGTTTCCATATATGCCCCACACCCAGTTACCCTTTTTTTAAACATCTTACATCAGTATAGTACATTTGTCCCATTCTTCCTTTCCCCGGCCCTTGGTAACCTCTATTTTACTTTCAGTCTCTATGAATTTGCCTTTTCTAGATACCTCATATAATTGGATTCATATGGTATTTGTCCTTTTGTGTTTGGCTTATTTCACTTAGCATAATGTCCTTAAGGTTCATACATGTTATAGCTTATGTCAGAACTTCATTCTTTTTTGTGGTTGAATAATATTTTGTTCTATGTA